CAAAACACCCGAACCCCGAAAAAATAGTTTTTTACGCAAATCCACGTTTATTTTGAAATGAGCCGTTGCAACTTCCGACTGATTTCGATAGAGGGGGTCACATATGTTAAGGGATAAATGGTTCATTAATCCTGAAATATGGAGCATCCCTCCGTTAAAGGTGCTGTATGTGATTTATTCCCCCAAATCCTTCTTAAGAATCCATGTGCTTGTATCGAAATAGAATTGCCCAGCTCTTGGAAGTCACTTACTGGCTGTCTGATGGCTGCGAGCCCATTCTTCCAGAGGAGAAGCTTCAGCTGCCGGAAAAAGGCCATCAGGAGAGGAGGCTAGAAACAAAAAAAAACATATGAGAATGATCAATCAATGCATTTATTTCCTGTTTTAAATTATCTATAAAATGTAAAAGAAATATTGACACATGTCCATCCCTGTTTCTCACAGTCCAAGGTGATGTCTTTAAATGTTTTTGTTTAATCAGTCGTAAATCTAAAGATTTTCAGGTTACTGTGATAAGAACCTGAGAAAAGCTGAAATACATTTTTTTTTTGAGATAGCATTTTCTTCATTTTCAGTTTGAGTCATTTCTATGATTAAATGATTATCTGAATTGTTAATCAAAGGGTTTACCGAAGTGCTTCGCAGCAAACATCACATTATAATAAAATATAATATTACAATAATAGATAAAAGGCACACATAAGAATAGATAAAAGGCACATAAAGGCTATGGACAGACAATAAAAGCATACAAATCGATAAAAACATAGCTCAAACTGACTCGAAAGCGAGGGACAAGAAGTGGGTCTTCAGGCGGGACTTGAAAGTTTTCAAGTTATCATGAACTAAGTTCCTATGGTGCTCAAAGAACAAAAAGAAATACATTTCCCTGAAAACTGGGAAACTCCATGTGTGGAGGAAGACAGATTGGACCCTGTTTTAAAATCAATGAGTCAACTGTAAAGTCGACATTGAAGGTAGCAGTTAAACATACTAGTCTTACAATATGTATGACACGTGCATAATTCAATTTATCTTATTTTGTGTCATACTTTGATATAGCCTAGTAGTAAACTGAACGTGGACACAAATAAAGTTTCTCACAAATCCACATGCATAAATCACGTAATGAAAATGCGTTAATAATTGACAATATAAAAGAAGTCACTGTTAAATGTTTTTATTAATAAAGTGTGAGCCTGACCTGCTTGCGTGTGTCCTCTTTACTGTTGAAAACGATGTGTTATCTGACGGTAGAGCGCAGGATAACGAAGAACATGGCGCGAGCTGGCCCCTAGCAGGATGCCCTTTCCATCAGACGATTCAAAATAAAAGAGAAAATCACGCTCAAAACCCCAAAAATTCTAAACAAAAATAATGACCCAGCGATTTCTGCACAGGATAAACAACCTTCACTTCTGTTGTTGCCTGCTGCTTATGTGAGTAGCTCAACCTGTATGTGTGAAAAGGTAAATCTGAAGAGGGGCGTGTACGGCTGCGACCTGCCTGACTACACAGTATGGCACCTGACTTCAGGGAACACGGTAATATCTGTACTCAAGGTGCCCTTTATATAATGTCATTCTATTTTAAGCTAATCATAGCGTATCTGACATAATGTATTACTAAAGCTTATTTAAGATGTTTTAAAAAATATATAGAATTAAGCTAATTTGGATCAAGCTACCTGATTCCTTTGAACATTAAAGCGTAGTCTTACATTTCTAATAATACACATTTCTGTAAAAATGTTTAAAAAAAGGTTGATCACATATTTGTTGAGCTTTTCCTGTGTTTGAACAGCAGTATAATGTGTCAGTTCCTCTTCAGGGTAAGACTTCTGGGTTTAGGTTAGAAAAGTGATTAATAGAGGAAAGATGAATGTGTGAATAAGATGTAATGTTACAAAACATTTGATATGTATGTTATACAAGCAAGAGCATTGGTTTAAAGGGGACAGAGCAACTAAGCATCAGAATACACTCTGCTAATGTCAGTACGATGTTGTTGAGGATGGTCTCCAGGGTACATCTCTGTATAGGGGATCCACAGGGAAAAGAAACAAATCAATGCAGTGTATTTGCATAAAGCTGCACATCGTATGACTATCTTGAGAAAACAAATGAAAGAAAGCCAAGAAAAACTGACCAAATGTTATTTTTAAACTAAAGTATATGATTTGAAATGTAAAAATAAATACCATCACAATTGCTTCATTTGCACAAGATTAGATTCAAGATTTGAGAATTCTTTTTTTCCTTTAATCAGATTTCTATGTGACTATAGCCTGATGTAGCTTAAATTAATGTCATTTTTAACTTCACTTTCATACACAAACACACACCCCCTGTGTGGGTGTACTTAATTGCAACTGATAAATACACAGCTGAGTGACTCAGCAGAATTGTACATAAAGAGTGGAGCCTGAACTATCAGGTTAACATGTGCCAGTTAACTTTTACCATTACCAGACATTTCAAACGAAGCAAAACAAAGGACAATAGAAAGCCTCAGGGTTGGGCCAACTGAGAGCATAGGTGACATATGACACTATCATACTGTTATGCATCAAGTGAATTCCATCATCAAAGTAGTCTTACTGGTTTTTCATCTTCATACATGCAGCGAAAAATCATAAAAGTCATACAAGAAATCTCTGCGGCTGTAAAGACTACATACATATAACATCCTGATGTTGGAACGCCTCAATCACACTCTTTTTGTCAAGAAATGTGAATAAATAAACATTCCTAACAACAATAACATACTTTAAAGAGTTAACCTCTTATAATCAAACAATGTTTAACATCACCATTTCTAAACTTGAGCTATTGACTTCTCGTTGAGATTAAAATATAGAGATAGGAAAATATAAGCAAACGTTAAACATAATCACAAATGCCATGTTTAAACCCGCCTAAAATCTTTCATTTACCATGAAAATAATACAACTACTGTATAAAGCAAGTCTTGAGACAAAGCCCACACCAAACATGTTTTAATCAAAACACGGGCATCTTCAGGAATGAAAAAAAGGGTGTGTTCAGGACAGCTCCATGGCTAGCAAGTGTTGAAGAGATAGTGGCTAATTTGTGGCGTTTGAATTCCTTTAAAACATATTTTAATAAGCAAAGATACTATCATGGTCAATGCCAATCACATAAAGAAAAAAGAAAATTAAGTTAAGCACCATCAAAAATCATCATGATATTCATTATGATGACTTTCATATTTCCTACTTTTCAAACACCAATAATATATATAATATGAAATTTCATGTAACAAATGTTAATACTGGCAATGCATAAAGGGAACATAATTCACATCACAGAAACAAGGTAGAAAAGAAACCAAATGCACTTAATTTGAAAAAATTGTGAGCTAGAAATATTCAGCTCCTTACTAATTTATAGGGAAATGTGTGAAGTACTTAAATAACACTGGGTAACAAAATACATATTTGAAAAGAAATTGTAAACACAGCTTTACTTGTCTTCAAAAAGTTCCACAGGGCACCTTTTATTAAAAATGCAATATACGATTGTTCATTCACCATTTTGTGGGGTTATTTTTGAAAAATGTAATTGTATATTTAAATAACGTATAGATACTCAACATCTTTGAATCTCACAAAGTAAACTGATAATACTGCACCACAACACTTCAAACAACACTCTTCTGCAGTCTTTATAAGTCACTTTTTCTCACCAGTGGTGCTGGTAATAAATATGAGGAATTATGTTTAAAAAATGAAGCTGTCAATAAAAGATAAATATTCCACATAAAACCAAAATAAATGTTTGCAGATTTTCAGATTACAGTTATACATGTTTGGCAGCCAAGTCTTGGCATTGTATAAGGTTCAGTCACAGTGGTCACATCAGACCTGATTGCACAATTCTGAAACCATAAAAAGTAAACAAAAGATAATACCCCATTAAACAGTAAAAATATATTTTAAAATTCCATACAAATAATTGTCCCTTTTAACACTGCTGTTGGCACTTGTGTGTGTCAGGAAAGTGAGTGGTTGCATCAATAAACAATTTTCCAGTGTGTGGGTTGTTCACATTCCTTCTCATTGTCCCCGCAGAAACGATTGTATGTCGCTTTGGGGTCAAAACCCAAAATCTCCCTCTCTTCATGGATCCGGAAAGAGAAGGTGGACACTGAAGTTCCAATGAAATATCTGATGAAAAGAAAAACAGTGATGCAAGAGACGTGCAACCTTGGGAAATGACATGTTCACGCGACATGCAAAGAGATAGGCATGTACATCTAGAACTGGTTTTTCAAGTGGAAACATTTTCTATGGTACGGAATGAGAGTGGCAAGGCTGCTGAAATATCTGAGGTATTTGGTGTTGCAAAACCTTTGTTATCAAATTGAAAACACAGTAAGAACCAATTACTTTATTACCAAGAAGGTCATTAACCTATGAAATGTGTCATTTTGTTGTCTGATACAAATACCCTGTCATTTATACACTATCATATCTATATATGTTTTCTGATTTCTATATTATAGAACTTTCTAAATTATCTAGAAAATGTTATGTGGAGTATTCTTGTGGTTCATGTCTTTTCTACTTTAGATATGTGCATAGACTTGCAGCTGTTCATTGTTTTTATTTTTGTTTTATTTAATTATGTTTATAGTTTTTTCCACCTTTAAAGATATTTACATTGTAATGCCTGAACACACTGCTGCAACTGTTACTAAATCATTTCCCAATATTGGATCAACTCGTTATTTCGTAATGAATACATGTAAAAACACCATAACAATTATTTACCTTGCATGGGCACATATCCACTGGTCGATGATGGCCACCCCCCCATCTTTGAAGAGCTCCAGGTCCTCGTTGGACGGCTCAAACCGCACCATGTCTGGCAACAACCTTCTCAGCTCCTTCGACTCTACAAAGTGACATACATTAAACAGGATTATAGACAGTAGCATTTATAGCGAATATACTTGAATAGAAGTCACTATAATGACTGCTATACAGTAGGTAAGCTATTATTATTAATTCTAGTTGTCCTATTACAGTAACATTATCATTATAAAACAATGCAATCATATTTTATTTTATCAATGCAGTACGAAAGGATTTAGAATGTTTTCACTCCCGATTAAAAACGAAAATCACAAAGCCTTTTAAATCAAATACAATTTGAAATTGTCTAAAGACCGTATGTCTTTACCTTCCTCATCGGCATCTGTTGCAACAAACACTTTTTCAAGTTTGTGCTTCTTCATCAAGCTGCGTATTTTTTTCACTGCTCCTTTAAGGCTGGGTACATCCTCCCGATGACCCCAGATAAAGTCCTTCCTGCGCAGGTGGACCCCCAGATATGGACCCCCTTTAGCCGAGCCCAACTTGGCCTGAGGAGGAAATAAATAAAGAGACGGAACATTGTTAAATTATTGCTGAAACTTGATTGATTGAATTTGGAAAATAAACAAATGCAAACTCAAGCAGCACATTCATACATACTGTACATACAGATGATTTAACAGCAGGCATATTTTTCACATCATCCCAATGAAATCTGACAGCAAACAGAGCAGTAAAGGGTGTGCGTGAGATGATAAGCTCAAAAATGTAAAACATTCTCAAAGACAAAAGAGTCAAATTCACATGATGCAAATGGACTCACATGGTAAATACTTGGATAATATACTGTACATTTCCACAATCTTTATTCCACTTGTACAATCCCATAATCATGCCACAATCAGAAAAATGTACTCACTTTCATGCGAGTCCAGTCCTCACTGTAAATAGTAAAGTCTCTGTCATCTGAGGAGTTCAGGTACTTTGCTCTGAAGTCATCTCCTATGAGTCTCAGGTGCTTGGCAAAAACCATGCTGCGGCGGGTCTACACAAAACACAGAAAATTCAACATTTCCAAAGTTCCAAATGACACACAAAAAAAGTGTTATGTATTGCCTGAAACCTAGATTATTTAATTGATATAAACCGATGGCTTACATCCCAGTAATCCTTTCCAGCATAGTGATCATGGAGGAGTGTCTCTGCTCGGTCAAGCATAACCGACCTGCAAAAGGGTGCGGTACAAAGAGATTAATCCAAGTCAGTATCAACAAGGTCAAACTAAAATCCGAACTGTAAACTTTACGACATTTAAGTAACAATCAAGTCAGATAATCTTTCAGGTATTTTACATATAAAAGAATGACGTGTGGCTGTCTTATAAAGGATTGATACTGAATACTTTAGATAGTGACTGATACGTTTGGACCGATCATTTTCGTTTCCGTCATATTGGTTGTTTGTTGACTCAAATATTATATAGTCAATTAGCTACACCTGTCATATAAAATGTATGATGAGATTAGTAATGGTTATCAGTTACATATTAAAGTTCACTTTAGAAGCTAGGAATGCTAGTTAAAGTCAGAAGATTATACTGTATTATGTCAAATGAGCTGCTCTATATGTACAGTATGTGTATAGTCCTTGCAGTTTATATCAGATTGTTGCTCAGTAGACTCACGTCGCCGTGATGTTCTTCAGGAGGACAGGGGACATGATGGAGGCATGCCCTTGGGCTGATATACACGTTACATTTCGAGCTCTCGTCTCCTCGTAGCCCCAAAACCAGCCCCTTGGTAACACACACACAAACACAAACAAAATAAAGGCAACATTTTTAAATGGATGGAGAGAAGAGGGATATGGGCAAGAAAGAAGAGATGGATATCATTCAAACTAATTTTCTTTTGCACTTAAGCATAATCAATCTTAATAAATAAATGTGGGAACAATAAAGAACAAAATCTGCCTTCTAATAGAGGGCAGGATACAAAAAGGTAGGCAGAACAACCTATGTAGTTAAGGATCAAGATTATCTTTGTCCAACTGTCTGAATTATGTCTCCTGAGTTATTCTACTTTAATTAAAATTCATTTTGTTTGGCACTTAAGCTTAATAAATCTCTTTTTTCATGCGGGAAAAATTAGAGGGCAGGAACAAAAAAGTGGGGCGGAGAAATCTTGTACTTTATTTCTTCTTATTTCCAAATAAAAACTTTAGATTACTTTTTTCCACCAAGATTTGTGTATTGCTACTCATACGATGATCGTGATATGTTATAATGTTAACATTTTATTAAAGTAAATCCTATCAATTGTATTTACGTAACAGGCAGCATTTCTAATTTTTTTAAAACTTGAACCTAAAAATGTCTTAAAGATGCAGTAAACAATTTTTTTGTTTAAGTCCAAGACACACAATTTACTCTGCTTATGCGGCAATCTTCCACATTCTTATTCTTTTTTGTAAAGGGACTGGAGTAGATACTGAAATTGGCAACACTTTTAACAGAATATTGAATAAAAGAGTGTTTTGAACCAAGAAGCAATCAAATCGAACATTCATCCCAGCTAATTTCTATCTGTTAACACATAGTTTACTATATTTAAACTTTAGACTTTATGCTTATGATGATATAAGAATGTACTTTTCATATGAGGAATCATTTATCCATTCTAATCCTCGGGTGGCGCCTCCGTTTTGATGTGTTTATCATGTTTGGACTATAAGCAGATATGTTTATGGCCAGCCTAAGTCTCAGTTAAATATGCAGACCCTGTGAGAGTTTGGCAGAAATGATGGTTAAATAGAGCGTGAATACTTGTCTGTGTACTGTTCGCACTGTCATTATCCTTCCTCATTTTCCAGTCAATGTAGCAAAAAGAATTTCAATCACAATGCCGAGAATTTCAATCTAATCTAATGTTGAGGGTGTCAAAAGAAAAAGGTATTCAGAAAACATCAGCCTAATGACAACTAGCATGGTTTATAAAAGATAATGAAGATGAAGTGGTAATCTTGTTAATTAAGTCTTAGTGTTTTTTTAAATGCAGATTCTTTGCAGTGTGTTTCTTTACCTGTGGTAGCCCTGTTTATCTTTGGAGTACATCAACTTGTCAATGCATGGCCGCTCATCAACTTTTTCCTCCCATTTCCCATCAGTCCATCCCTCAGCGTAGTTTTGCAATACCAGAACCTGGTCTATGAAAGGGCCTCCGTTTTCTAGATCCAAAAGAGAAGCCAAATGTGCATTTTGAAAAACAACTATTAATATGTATTATTTAAAGTATAGAAAAAAGAAAAAAAAACATTTTCAACCATAAAGGGCTGGGGTTTCAATAGGTTCACAGGCAAGACTGGATATGGCCGTTTCCAATTTAAAATCTGATTTTATCACGCTGCAGCATGCACTTCTTGATTCCAAACTGCTTTTGAACAGTAAGAAAACCAAAGCAATGCTTTTTGCTCCCAAGTCAGCGTCCTCTTGCCTCTCCATTGACACCCTTGATGGCGTCTCTGTTGAGTTTGTCGATACATACAAATGTGTGGGCTTTTGGTTGGACAGTAATCTGAAGACTTAAATGTTATTTTTCAACTTCATCCCGTAAAAGGTTGGTCTCTGGCTTATTCCTGTCCCAGCTGGACTACGGTGATACCATTTATAGATTTGCCTGTCCCACTGTTTTGGCCAAACTTGTCCCACTCTACCATGCTGCACTGCGTTATATATCAAATGCACCCTATAGGACTCATCATTGTTTTGTTTTTTTGAGTAAAGAGAGGCAAAGCTATCATCCCTAGGAGATGAGGTTCAGGCCCTGGTGCAAAAACAGGCAGTGTCTGCTGTGCACACTCAAGGCAGAGGGGCACTATTCCCTGTACTTCCTGGTTCCCAAGAAGACAGGCGAATTCAGCCCCATTCTGGATCTTCGCATCCTGAATCTCCACATTGCACACAGAACATTCCAGATGTTAACTATAAAACAGTTACTGGGGCTGGTGCAGCCAGGCGATTGGTTCAAAACCATCGACCTGAAGGACGCTTACTTTCATGTCGAGATTGCTCCGAAACACAGAAAGTATTTGCGTGTTGCCTTCCAGGGTGTAGCCTACGAGTACTTACAGGGCTGAGGACTCTCTCAGTTCGCCTATGGGCGGAGGGTGGGAGACTTCAGCGCTGTCTTCCGAGCACACCTTCGTGAGGTAAGTGCGTCAGAGTGTGCTCTGTCAGCCGCAGCCCCAACTTCTCCACGGTTACGACCGAGGGAGAGGTGAGTGAGGCGCAGCGGCTGCTAACCAGAAAGCCGGTCAGAGACAGTGAGATGGAACAGTGTTTTTGTGGGACGACAGCGCGTGTATACACCGGGGCTCCGCCCTCTACTGGACTCTATGGGTACAGTGGGCGGATAGCCTGTGAGAGATATAACGAGGGGTTACGTATGGTAACCCTTGTTGTATAAACACAGGCGGATCCCTCTACTCGTGGGCCCTCTCTGTCCTATGCTGCTTGCTGAAGAGAAGTGTAGGATGACAGTCAGGAGGCGGGGCCTCCTTTTATGCAGTGAGATGCGTGCGCATCCAGGTAGGCCCGCCCCGGGGCCGGCTACATCTATAGAAGTCTCAGTGGATGAATGCTTGCATGATATGATCAAGGGGAGTAGCCATAGAGTACAGTAGAGGGCGGAGCCTGTGTTTATATAACAAGGGTTCGCATACGTAACCCCTCGTTTTCTCCCCAGATGCCTCTGTGAAAAACTATTTCTACCAGCTTCCATGTTCAGAATCAGAATACCTTTATTCCTTTTAAATATATTATATGTATGCTAAGTGTGTTTCTGTGTGTTTTCTCTCAGATGCCTCCTAACCCAGCCTCCCTGGCTCCTCTGGCTAAGAATCTGATGAAAGGAGTGATCGTGGTGGAGCTGCTGGGCGTCTTCGGAGCGTACGGCCTGTTCCACAAGATGAACGACAGTCAGGGTATCAGACGGAGATTTATTTATTTAAAGATGTGTCTTAGGGAACTTGAGAATACTAAAGCTGTGTTGAGTGACTTTAGAACAACCTTCATCTCGTCTTTTTCCTGTTCTCCTAATAATACAAAGAGCTTAATTATCCATATCGTTTAGTCGCTATGTTATAGAGATTCAAGATATCCGTTTATCGTCATATACCGTATATAAGGTATAACAGGCAGTTGGACTGTACAATGACATTCTAACATTTCAGCTCTCCACAACTGAGTGTTAAGAAACTACATACAAACATACAAGATAAAAACTAGCATATAAGACATTTTTTTAAATATAAGCCGACGTACACTTAAATAAATCCTNTTACGTTGGGTTGTTTGTTGATAAAGCTGAATTGTGGCAAAACTGTTCAACAGGAAAATGATTAATTGATACAATAAGCATACAACTGAAAGATTACACAATACAAAAATAGTTTTTTTGGGCCCCCCCCATGACATTATACATAAAAGCTAAAGAGGAAAGTCAGGCATAAGGTAACCTTAAAAAGCCAAGAGGTTTCATTAAAATTTTTAAATAATTAATTTATAACCAAAAAAGCACCAAAAATATGAATGAGGTGCTCTAGCTTGTCCAGTGTAGTAATACAATGGTGGATGATATTGAGTCAATTCTCTCATGAGTCTCCATGACATAAAAGCTACTTGAAAAAATTGAAAAGTTTTTTAAAGACTAAACCTTAAATAACTAACTTAATGAAACGAAGTTTGTTCCAATACGAAGATTGTGTCCTTAAAATGAGCCACCTCGCAATTGATGCACTATTATTTATCAGCCGTTTGCCGGTTTAATCTGGATGGGACAATATATCATTCAAAAGAGGAGAAAAAAGCGTATAAACTAGACGAACGCCGAACATGGCTGCAATCTACAGGCAAGCCTTCAACCTTGCGGCACAACACCGAGGTTTCGTTTCCAGTAAGTGCATTTAGCTTAGGAACCTTTCCTTAACCAAGTGAAATGACCCGGAAGTACATCAGTTGGCAGCCATGTTAAGTGCACTATCCAGATTCTCGAAATGAAAGGAAAGGAGGTTTCAAACTTTCCTTTAGACTTAGGAATCCACTGGACCTCCCTTTAAGGCCTCTGGGACACACAAAGCGCATGTCACCAGAGAAACTCACCGACGCCGACTGTTGCGGTCGCCGTAGTTCTTCCTGCGTCTGCCCATTGTTGTCGCCAACTGGAACACACCGCAAAGACTTCAGGGCGAGGGACGTACGGAACTGCGCATGCTTGAGTGGCAATACTCTCCTTTAACCAGCAGGCGGCGGGTAGTGTGTATTCATCATTAAAAGAGGCAACAACCGGAAGACAGGAGAAAGATAGAACAGATGCGTGATGATTCTAAAAAAACAACAAATAGCGTGGCATTCCATTTTCACGTCTCGTCCATCGGAAAAACATGTTTCGTCGTCGTAACTTGGAGCTATCAGCCATTGGTAGTGTTGCTTGGGGGAGACATTCCAAGCAACCGTTTCGCTTCTCATTGCCACTGATTCGCTAGCTGAACAGCCAATCAGGACTGATTTCTTGTCCGACTGCCTGTGGGCGGACGCGAGGGCGATTCAACATGTTGAATCGGCCGTGCGTCGACCATGAAAAAAAAAAAATAAAGCCAACAAAGGCGTGTCCACGGCCACGTACGGGACACACAACATTGGAGTTTGGCGACCGGGCACGCTTCGTCGTCCGTCACTAACGAAAACGGCCAATTTCGGACCTGGTGTGTCAGGGCCTTTACTAAAGGAGAGGAGAAATGCTTGCCCCACAATGGCCTTGCAGCCGACAGCAAATTTGCCGTCACACAACAGTCGGCCGTTCACGGAAACAACCGATTACTGGCTGAGAAGATGATAGTTACGCTGCTTATTAAGCATTTTAAAACGTATGTGGTAACTTGCCAAAGTGCTTTGTTTTGAACGTTCATCAGTATTATAATCAAAAGGAGAATACGAACGTTAGTTTTTACTGAAATAATCAAATAAGGCCCATGTAGTCACTCAGAAAAAATCAGGACATTCTGATGTACAGTTTCAAAATAAAAGACTTTGGGAGACAGGGAATGATAGCTCATATGTGAGACTTCAAAGGTCTCTTTATTGGTGAAACTGTGACATCAGGAATGTCCTGATTTGTTCTGAGTGACGAACATGGGTGTCCTGCTTATCACCCTGCGAGTGAGATGGATCTATGATACTGGACAGTCTTTGTTTGTATTCTCATCCAAAAACAGGGATGATGCTCATATATGAGACCTCAAAGGTTTTATTTTGAAACTCTACATCAGAATGTTTTCCTGATTTTTTCTGAAGTGACTAGATGGGGTGTCCTGCTATCACCCTGGAGTGAGATGGATCTATTGAACTGGACAGGTTTTTTGTTTTATTCTCATCTAAAAAACAGTGGATGATAGCTCATACTATATGAGATTTCAAAGGTCTTTTATTTTGAAACTCTACATCAGAATGTCCTGATTTTTTCTGAGTGATTAGATGGGGTGTCCTGCTATCACCCTGAAGTGAAATGAGTCTTTGATACTGGACAGTTTTTGTTTTATTCTCATCTAAACACAGAGGGATGATTCTTTTTGACTCTACCGTAATGCATAGGATATTCGCGCACCGCAATATCACTTGAGGGCTGGCTTGACTAGGTTTTCCCGAGTGGAGGCTGGCTTGACCGCAGTTAGTTTAGCATACTCAGCCCGACTCAGCCTGGTTGTTCCTGGCCCTAGAACCACGATTTTATGGGGCCATTACATCACCAGAAGTCCCAATTTAAGGGGTCATTTCTCCCCAAAAAATTTGTTTTACTCACTATATCAACAGCCCCACCAAAAATATTTTCCACCAGCCGCCACTGACTGTTTGTCTAGTTGGCTTACATAACAGTTAAAGTTTACAGCCTAAAAAACATGGAGAATTTTTTCCCCTTTTATTCATTTTTATGTCAATTTGCACATTTCATGGTGGATGCTAAAGCCTCCTCCCCTTAACTCATAACACGTCCATTCATTCATGTCCAACCCGACAACACAGGAGAAATACTTTGATAGAAATGTGTGTGTAGTTGTTGATACATTGCTGACAGAGGGAACTACATTTGAATACAGATTTAAGAAATATCAGTTTTTGAGCATTTCATAAGCTTGTCTTGACTATATTACAACTATATTATAATAAAATAATATAGTATTTATATTATTGAGTTGATTAAGATTATTGTTATTAGTAGAAGTAGTTTATTTGCATTAATTATATTTTAATCTTTTTGAGGCTATATTTGGCAGGAAATGCAGACGTATTTACCTTTAAACGCATACTGAACGACACACAAACAAATAGTTGTTGCGCTGATCAGGGGGTACTTGGCTGAATTTTTTTTCAAAGGGGGTACATTATTGAAAAAAGTTTGAGAACCACTGATCTAGACTAAGTACCGCAGTCTCTTCTCCTAAGTCCTTTTGAATTCTCCCATCCACTATCCCTTAACCCCATGACGTTTCACTCAGAGGTCAAGGAATAGACGATAGGGTTAGACGTTAGGAGCTGATTTTTGGATTATCCGATCGCAACCCGGCCATTCTGTGGTTCTCCAGATTCTACAGATGGCCAGTCCGCCCCTGTGTCCTATTACGCCGGAGGGGCCGTCTGCCGAATATCCAACCTAGAACTGACTTCACCGTGATATTGTGGAATATTACTGCAAGCTGCTGGATCAATATGCACAACAGTACACTACAGCCATGTTGCAAACAAATGCACACGTAGGAAATACGACTCGATTTGTCTTCAGACATTATGGGGTTTATCATTTATGGATAACCCACCATATTCGGTTCAGCCTCGCCAGTCGCCAGATGAGACCAGATTCTCATTTACGTCAGCAACGTGTTATGTTACTCATACACTCGATGTAGGGCGGAAAATAAGTGATTAGGTTGCTGCTTAAGGTACCATTTATACGCCGAAATTCACTTCAACACAATGGAGTTTTGTAAATTGTATTCATGAATATGTCTACGAAGATAGTATGGTTATAATACCGAAGACGTCGTTAAACGTGTACGTTTTTGAATGGAGTCAGGTACACCTCTGCCTCCCAACAACAGTGCAGGGGTTATCAACACTTGTGTTAAAGCCTGGCAAACTGAATAACAAAATAAAGCCTTGGTGAACAGCGTGAAACTGAATCCGTAGTAAACTTACCATAAACATACAAAATGACATACAAATGTAACGTTAGCAAAGAGTAGCTAGCTAACAGTAAGAGTAGGGTGAGGAAGCTTACCGCAGATCCCTGGCGGCAGAGATGGGTACAGTAGCCGTGTGGCTGGCACTGAACACATTGTCGGCGTTCACCGTTTCAAATGCTGCAAAAGCGATGAAAATAGATAAAAACAATGCAGTTAACGAATCGATTGAAGCAATGCATACCACTGATATATGCACTGCTCTGTGCGCCATATTTCCTCAGCCACGCACTTCCGGAAGAGTAAAAAGCGTCTGTATAGTTGCCGAGCAACGAGCGGTGACATGCATGCAGTGAAAGGGAATTCTGAAAAATTAATTCAGGAAATGTAGGCTAATAGGCCTATTTATTTCTATATTTTAATCAATGACAACTAACCCGGATATATTTTTGACATTAGTGTGCTGGTGCAAGAAAACGTCAAGAGACTAGATGAAATACAACAAATTTGAAAAAAATAAATACAAAAAATGAAAACCATTGACAAGCTTAGTATTATTTTATTATCACACATGTCACAGTAGGATGAACACAGAGGGAACAAAAAAAGCAGAGTGATGGCTTAACTTAATTAGTCTTCTTTGATTTTAGTGTAAGCTTAGCCTACTATAATTCATTATTGTGCATGCTGGCTAACCATCATCACACTGTCCCCTCACGGGAAAGCCACTGTAAGGTTAATGTAAACACACATAAAACATCAAGAACCATCACAAGGCAATGAAGGCATACAATCGATAGGATGTTTGAGTATAATTGTTCCTTTTTTCTTTTTGAGGTACAAGTGTGCCTAACCAAGTCTGAAAACACATCACTGGATGTTGTCCTGGTCATATGTCACTCCCAGCTGCCTCCGGGCCTCATCTAAAACTTCTGCTATCAGGCTGGAGTGAGCCCACGGCATCCCAGGACTCTCCTTCAGTCCTAGAGGGGAACAAGCAACTATAAATAAGGATCATTAAGACATCACACAACAAGGGCCATCAACATTCAATATATATATATTTTTTTGACATTTCATTAGTTAATATAAGTTATTTCAATCTTAAAGTGCACCTATCATGCTATTTTTAGGCAATAGCACAGGTCTCAGATATATAAAAATATATTAAAAACATGTCTATGAAGTGTTTTGCTCAAAATACCAAACAGATCACCCATTCTAGCCATGCCTCATATCCCTCTATTTCACTTCCTGTTTCACAAGTGCTGATTTGGGGTATAAAGCTTTAAAAAAAAAAGGAGGGGGCTGAGCTCATGCGGGAGATGCTACCGGCAGATACTGCGGTGATGAAACGCCATATCATGGATTATCGAGGATTATTTCTGAAACAGTATGGAGCTCAAAGGCTTTCTCTCTTGCCGGCTATACCACAAGGTGAGTTCCTTTTTATTTCCTGTTTCTTCACACACATGCTGTGCGGTACAGGTTAGCTCTGAGTGTTAGCGATGCTAATGTAAACATGCACCGACCATATTACGTCCAAAACAGTCGGGCATTGCTTCTGATAGCAACTTTCTGATAGGGCCGTGGGTGTAAAGCCAGCCTACATTTCCGATATTACGTCACATCGGACGCAAATCTGGATCAGCTCCATTGTAGTCCCGTTTTTAGAGATTTGGGTACGGAGGAAAAGAGAGAGGGTTTTATTTTCTGACGATGCGTGAGTTCCCCGACACACCGGGGACACATACTTATGTATAAAAGATGTCAAAAAGTGCATTTTGCATGATAGGTCCCCTTTACATCGGTCATTCACATTTGGATATAGCAAATAACTGAAAATGTAAATAAATTAAGATGATCAATCACTACCAGATTAATAAAAAAATGCTACTCATGTTCTGTTTTATATGCATTATAGAATACTACCTTTCAGCAAACATTGGCGGACCTCCTCAGCTTCATATCGTAGTCCGGTGCTGTTGGTGAAGTTTAGTGGCATGCTGGCCTCTGGCAGGGGGAACTGCATCTCCTTTCCATTCACCTCCAAGGATGTGGGGCACCACATATGGTCAGGTATCTGATGTTGAAAGTATAATGTAACTCACTGTGGATACATATTTGTAGATAGTTCATTTTCTGCAGTACTTTGATGATGTTTTCATGAATCATTAACAAACAGCCACAGCAATGAGCTCATGCCAACATGTAAATCAATCATATTTACTTTTGTTGTTGATTAAGCTATTGTGCCAAGATAAGAAAAGTATTTCACCAGGGCTAAACTCTTTTTTATAGTTAGAAAAAATGTATAAATCAACAAGACTATAATTATATAGGCAAACTAGAAGCACCAGGGGCTGCAAAACACATTAGAAAACGAACACCTGAATTAGATAGTAGATGTTTTACTGCTCCTGTTAACTAGATTGGTGCAAAAATGTACACTTTTGGCTGTGATTTCTCTATCTAGCAATGACCTAATATAACAATGTCAAAATAATTGACTTGGTCCTGTGAGGAAATGTTTATACTTTTCTTGTTGCATGCCATTACCTTAATGGTGCCTTTGGTTCCAGTGATAACTGCATCACAGGTCAGCATCATGGTGATTGAGCATGTGCAAATTGCAAGTCTGTTTCCCGAGAACTTTAGGACCAAAACTGCTGTTCCATCAACACCTGAACAAAGGATTTAATGAACGTTTTGTAATGATATATATAAAAGACATCTGGTTTCTATGCAAGAATATACGTTGTATTTAATATTTGCTTAGCGAATAGGCTTCCTGCAGACAATCACCTGTGTCTATGCAATGCCCCGTTGCTTGGATGGACTCAGGCCTCTCGCCGTTGAAAACCGTGAAGATAAACTGCAGACAGTAGATGCCTAGGTCCAGCAGTGCCCCCCCTCCCAACTTCCTCTCAGCCAGGCGCGGGATGTGTGTGAGTGGAGCCCCCAGATCAGCCCTCACCATCTGAACATCACCCACTTCACCCTGCTCCAGCAGTCTCCTCACTTCAACGGTTACAGGAAAGAAACGTGTCCAAATTGCCTGAACAGAGACATGGAATGGTTTGAACAGATCAATGGCAAATGTGATTTTGGTAATTAATGAGTTAGTTACCTCCATGAGAAAGACACTGTTGTCTTGGGCTGCACCGATGAGTTCCTGCACCTCCCTTAAATTCATGGCCAAGGGCTTCTCAATCAGCACATTCTTTTTGGACTTCATAAAGAGCTTGCCAGTAGCCAGGTGGTAAGGATGGATGGTGCCGATGTACACCACATCTAAAACAAGTGTAGTGTTTAGAATGATTTAAGAATTCACTTCCAAGTAGGACATGAAAAGCAGCAACCACTAGCATTCTTGGAGCTGTTAGAGATTAATTGACTAGTTTGAAGAAACTTCTGCTGAGTGGAATAGTTTGATTTAATTAGGACCAAAAGGAAAAGCCATATGCTGACAGAAGAACACACCAATGTCAGGATCTTTTGCCAACTCATCATAACTCCCATATACTCGTGGGATGTTGTGCTTTTTAGCAAATTCTTCAGCATGTTTCACATCCCTCGCTGCAACAGCCACTACCTGAGGATGAACACATCAGAATCAGAAACAGGTTTATTACCAAGTAGGTTGACACATACAAGGTATTTGCCTTGGTGTACATGGTGCATAGTGCATACACAAACATATACATAGTTTTAGTAATGCAGCAAACCTGATTTTTGTATTTACCAACATTTGAATACAAATTAAAACGTGAGCAGAAATGCAGGAGCAACCATCCTTTAATTAAGGATTAAAACATAAACCTATATATATCCTATCATTTTAATCATTGCCACACACAGTCCTGGACACATACTCAGTGATGGTAAAGAAAACCAGGAGTGGTGATACAAAGTAACCATGTTTAATTGCTTTTGTGGGAAGGGGATGTCAATCTAACAAACATTTCCTCTTCCTTTATGGGAGGCACTACATACTGTAGATGTAAACAGAATAAAGTAGCCTTTATAGTGCAAACCTGTTACATTGATAAAACGGTAGATAGTTACAAGTTTATGATGAATGATTTCCTTCTTTCTTGACATAACTTGCTCAGAAAGAAAGAGCAGACCTTGAATGTTTACAAAATCCCACTTTGTGTAAGGTTTTGGGAGTACACGAACTATAGTTCGACACTTACCTTGTGGCTTTCGGGAGCCAGGGTCCGTAAAGCCACCGTGAAGTCATGACTTATTTTTCCTGCACTGCATATTCCCCAGCGTGTAGCCATGGCAAGTTAGCTAGCAAATTGAGCTAACATAATTTAGCTGTTACATACCTCGCTAAGTGACCTCTGCCCTCGTGAGATATCAGCCCAGCCTCTGGAGCCTCAACAATCTCCAGTAGATGGCGCCTCCATATCGGACAGGAATAGCAAAGAATATTGATATCCAGATGAGACTGTATTGTGTTGCATACATCATGTATCATTTACCGCGATGACTATTATTAAAGTTGGGACAAGGACTGTCATAAGAAGAGCTGTTCTAAGGTTTCAAAACCTACCCAGGATGCACCAAGTGGGAGGCAGAGAAATACTCTGTAGTACCAGAATTCATCCGAAGCGAGTACAAGAATTGTGTACATTTAGTTTATGCTTTGTACAGTCAAATAAACGTTTGCTATTGATAGTCAGTTTTTCTACTCCTGATGATACCTAAAAGTTATTTAACCCTCCTGTTGTGTTTGGGTCAAATCTGACCGATTTACTACTTTCATCAATCATAACTTTTTTGTTTTACATTCTATTGCATTAAGGCTTTATGATATCCTTCACAGTAGACATTTGAACAATTGCTGGTCACTACTTTCATTGAATTTTTGATAATTTAGTCAACTTTGTAACACCCATGGTGGCGTTCCCGGTAAAAAATGACCGCAATAAAGAAAAGGAATTAGTAACCATCCGGATCAGATAAAACACACACACACTAGATTGTGTTCCCCACCCCTTATGTACCCATCCCCCCATTGAATCACACCTGGCACATGCAATACATGTTCAGTGTCTATCATTTGTATATTTACTGCAGTTTTGCATGTATACCAGTAGTCCGATATAATATTTACAGTTTGAAAGGGTGTTAAATGAAATTTGGTGATGATTCATGTTTTTTGTGTTAATGTAATAGTAGTCAAAACAGGACCGGGGTCAGATTTGATCACGAACACCAAAGTAAAAGGGGGAGGGGGGATGGATTTAACTGAACTCTAAAACTACAGACATTGCAACAAGTGTTTTATTATCACAGCATACGTACTGAAGCATACACAAAGCCAACAAATAAAAAAGGCAATATATTTTGGGGAAAGATTTATAACAACACGTTTCAAACTAATTGGGTAATTCAACATTGTTCTGAGTTTTTGATAAGACAAATTAATAAAACAGATTGGCACACAGCATGTGATGGCACAACAAATAAGTTTATTGATGAGAAAGTTGAATTTTAAAATAAAACCAATGCATATTTCTGAATTAAAAACAAACATGCAGAATTCATTGTATTTCTTTCATATTATCTTAAGAGAATAATGGAAAATAACTGGCAAATGCAAGCTTAGCCCATTTAATATTCCTCTCCTTCCTCATCCTCCTCAAAGGAATCGATCCCAACCTCTTCATAATCCTTCTCCAGGGCAGCCATATCTTCTCTGGCCTCGGAGAACTCTCCCTCCTCCATGCCCTCCCCAACATACCAGTGGACAAACGCTCTCTTGGCGTACATGAGGTCAAACTTGTGGTCAAGACGGGCCCAGGCTTCAGCGATGGCTGTGGTGTTGCTCAGCATGCACACAGCCCTCTGCACCNGGATGCGGGCCCCTTCTTCTGTCTACCAATGAAAGGCACAGTCGGGCAGCTGCCTCCAGGGGCTGGTGGGTGCGGTGGTCAGGGATGGGCAGGGACGTTGTAAGGCTCGCCACCACTGCGGGTGGAGACCTGCGGGGCGCTGGGGCCCTAGACGCGCAAATTTCAAGCTTTTGGATCATTGTTTCTTTCCGTAATCAACAGCACCAGTCTTTCCCATCAACATTTTTTGCGACGGGAGCGTGAAACCAGAGGCCAGTGTGCCTCCACCAAAGGGACGTGGAAGATAAGGCAATCCCTGCCCCAGCGGGCCAGGCCCGACTGATCAGGCCTGAAAGAAAGATGCCTGCCTGGCGTTGTTAGACACTATCAAGTCTTAGCGATGCTCACTTATGAACGGATCAAACATTGCTGCGACCACATTTCTTTCGCTTTGCTAATAGTATGCGCCGAGCGATGATTAGTCAAAAGGACAAGTCTACCATAAATAACTAAGACTAACTGCATCCTCACCAGTGGTTACGCAGGGTCCTGTCGGAAAGACACCATATCAGATGACCTCCTTTGCCGGATGGGGCTGGCTACCGCCGATAGATGATATACCTCGGCGGCGTGTAGTTGTGGCAAGCATCTTCTCCTTTTCCCTGTAATCAGCTGCTCGAGGGTGGGCAACAGCTGGGACGGGGTAGCGCCGTGTCCTGTACGAACCATCATCTATGAAAGTTAAAAATAGCAAAAACTTTATGCGCAAGAAATAATGTCCATCATTTTCATAAGGCATATATGACTGTGAGTCAAAGCTGAAGCTTCAGGTTACATCCATTTACTGACCTGTGATGACAGTGGGCCTCCAGGTCGACAAAGCATGCGCTCTCGCCGGAACATGCTTTGTTCCTGCCCCCTGTCTCACTGAAGAAGGTGTGTTGAAGGAGTCGTGGCTCCTCCTTCCGGATTGCTCTCGCTCACTGGGCATCTGTCCGTCTGGCTGGATCCCATGTTCCAGACAGTACAGCTCCCAGCATGCATTGCCCATCTGGACTCCGGCTTGGCCGACGTGCATGGAAATACACTCACGCTGATTAAAAGAAGGGAGAGAGGTTGGTTAAAGAAAGAAGCCAACTAATATGATGAGATTTTGATTTAATCTCCAAATGCAAGAATCTTTGCTTTAGGAAATTCTGCTAAAAAATCCCTGGGGATCTTTACAGTGTGTGCCACTCAATATCTGGTAAGTACATTCAATTGAGTCGTTTCATGTTTAACAATGTTAAAGGAAAAGCAAAAAAACAGTTGTATTGAATTATTGCTTTATGTCATGTAGTGTTTTTTCTTTGAACTTCATGTTGAATGACAATCTTTGGTTTGATGTCTGCACTCGGTTCAGAGGGGACTGTGAATGTTTCTTTGTCTGCTTATTTGACAAAGAAGCATTGACAGCTGAATTGTGCGTGCCAGGGCAAAATGTGGGAGCTTTCAGCTGCTCTAAGTCAATACAAGCATGGCCAGCATTCTAATGAAAGCAGCTATAAGATCATAGCCTGCACTCTTTATAACGACAGTCAAGCGTGTGGGCATGACATGTTGCCACAAATGAAATGCAGTTTTAAAAGCAATAAAAAAACATTAAAAAGAGTTTCCTCAAATAAAGTATAGAACATGTAATCTAAGGTAGACAGGAAGGCCACGCTTTAAGAAAAGGGTAATGCCTCCCCCCACTGCTCCATCCTGTATCTCCTCCCTTTCCTCATCCCCTCCCATTTTGTGTCTCTCTCCTCCCCCATCCTGTCCAGCTGCATGGTGCTGTAACAGTGAGGGATGTCTCCCTCTCTTGCTCCCAGTCTACACATCTCTCTCCAGACAAAAACTCCTAACAGCTGCAAAATGGCTGCCGGCTAACTATTACTGTAGTCCGGACCACTCCTATTTTCCCTGTCCCTTCTATCCATCCCCCCAACTGCCCCGATTGACCTGACCACTCAAACAAAATTACTTTAATTCCTCAACAAAAAACATAATCAAGGCTCCAGTCATTTAGTTTCCATTCGTCACATATGTTTCTTTCCTTAATAATAACTTGCAGTACATCCAAGTTTTTGAAATGACAAAGCCGTCTAACTTGTAAATTGTCTGTCACCTGGCCTACATTGTCTAAGAGTAGGCCTACTTAAATGACTTATGGACTCTTACATTCATGAGTGGTTATCCTTTGGCATTCCTCTCTGATATCTAAAGTTAAAGCTAAAGTTAAATTCAACTCAAAACTAAAGTAACTTGAAAAGATAAAGCTGCTTTTCACAGCAGAGGCCTTATGAGCATTAAAGAGGCCCGGCTGTTTGATCCATCTAATGCTAAGAAACAGAGACAAAGGGAGGGTGAAGGGAAGAGAGAAAGAGAGAGTGGAAATGTTAAGACTACGTCATCAGCCGAGCTGTTACTCACCATTTTGTCTGCTGGTCCTTCGACTGACGGTGAGGATTCAGATACAAGGCAGAAGTGGGGAGGAGAAGTAGAGTCATGGTTTATATAGGCAAGGATGTGGAGGGGGCAGGCAGGAAACCACAGCAAGCAGCTGCATTGCTGATTGGCGGGAGGGAGCAGCAGAAAAGTGGGAAGTCCCTAACATTGTCTGTCATGTTTCCGCACTTACATTAAACTGCTTTGTCTGTCAGTTTAAGATTAGATACTCATGTTAGGAGACATAACCATTTGTAAACTGTTCTTCATGATCACTTTCCCCCCTATTGTGTCATGTTGTGTGCTAGTTAACTGACAATCTTAAGTTGTTATGTTGGGAAATGTACCAATAGCCTGCAAAATGTTCTTCCCTGATTATATCTCTGCATAGAAATGAAAGTATATTCAGTCAACAGGACTGTGGGCTAGGATAGTGATAATGCTTATGTTATGCATGCATGCACACATACATATTTATCAACACACTTACAACATTTTTTCTGTGTTGTATAATAAAGAAATAATCATACAATATTGTAATAAAATACATAAAGCTCTTTCTTATCTGAATGAACACATGTTAAAGATATATGCTTTGATGGTTGCAAACTGAAGGCGGGCAATGAGATCCTTAGCAATGATGGGAGATGACACAAATTACATTGTTTCAGTTTAATCAGCTAATTCACTACACACAGAGAAACATCAGACCAATGTAATGTGACGTAAAAAACAAGAAACTTCAATGAAATGTCAAGGCCAGTGTTTTATCCATGGTACAACTTTTCAACAGCCCTCTTTGGATCACAGAGCTGTAATTCATACTGCGAACCCATTGTTGCTGCAGGCCACTGTCTGGGTATGAACTACACAAACAACACCAGTCAGGGAGTGAGTCAGTCATTTTCTCTCCCTCTTGCTCTCACACACTCACAGCTGAATGGTATATCGAAACTGACATAGAAGCCTTTCATAACTTACATTCCACATGGGAGAGGATAGTGGGGGGAGGTGCACAAAATAGAGGGTTCCCAGTCTGATACGGCAAAAAGAAAAAAAGGCTCAAAATAACATATGTCCCACACATTTAAGGTTACATAGGACCAGCCCTCTCTAATGAGTCTG